CTCTGTTAATAGTAGAATTGGGACCTTCAATAAATGTCTGCAGAGCATCAAGTTGTTTTTCTTCGTTAATGGCAGGTCTCCCTGATTTAGGGCGATTGTTTACGCTACCAGTTTCTCTGAAACGCTCCATTGTTTTTAAGACAGTGGACTTATTAATTCGACAATTCGGATACGTCTCATTAAATAATTGAGCGACAGCAGCGTACGACCGCTCGTTATCACCCCATCCAGGCATCATGAGGATAGTGATTCTTTCACGTTTCGACAATTCGCCGACCATTTTTAAAATGTTTAATTTTTAATCTGTCTAAGATCTGTGAGAACTGATTTTAAGTAGCCGTGAGAACAACTGATTTTAAGTAGCAGTGAGAACAACTGATTTTAAGTAGCAGTGAGAACAACTGATTTTAAGTAGCAGTGAGAACAACTGATTTTAAGTAGCCGGGATTGATCCTGGATAACACTAAGCGCATGAAATTTCGAAATTTGAACGGCCGCCATTTTTAATGGGGGAGGGGGTCGTAGCGACTTAAAATTTAAGGGTGTGTTTGTTATGAAAAGACCTTTCAAATGAGCCCCCATTCGACCCTTAGTCCAATTTAAAATTGTCAACCCCCTTTTACCCCCGCGTACCAAGGGGTTGGGAATAATCGGCATCCATGTCATAGGGTAGCTTTTTTGAAAAATCAAAATACGTGTTTTGCCGTTTTTTGATATTTTCATTTTTACAAAAATTATTTAAAGGTTTCCACACTTTTGACAAACCCTGTATAATTAAAGTACAACCACTACGAGAGATGTATAAAATTGTGTAGGTATAAATGTTGCTCGATAAAACCATGTAAAATTCTAAATTATTAATTAAATAATATTTGCGAATGTGATCGCGCGCCAAGATTTCGCGTCGAGTTTCCAAAAAGTTCCGACGACCTATAGATACAGTCAATCGTACAATCAATTTTGAATAATACGTTTCTTTCAGATATATCCTCACTCAACAGGAGGTCAGAATGTTATCAAACTTGCCAATTAATCGTCAAAGAAATCGCGAGTCGACAATGCAACGCCTTTTTACTCGTCTCGTTGAAATAACGTGTTGCATTAGCAATCTGCAATACAATCTTCGACACGCCAATGACGAGTATAATTTTCTACAGGACGTTTGCGTGTTTCCCAATGTCATTCTAAGAGATTTTCTCAGAGATACTGTTTCTTTCTTGAACACTTTTAGAAAGGTGTACAGTCATGCTGAATGCACTGGTCTCCATTAGCTGTTGAATATATATTGGTAATGACTGGATCAAAATATTAGTAATGTAACGATATGAAACATGATTAACGATGATGTATCTCTTTTTCGATTTTTAATTGGTAGAATCAGAGAATGAAAATAATTTACTGATACGAAATATATGTATATATATAGGGTGCTAAATTTCAAACGTAACAGGTAAAAAATCTCGAAAACTATGAAAGATATTAAAAGAATCTAAAACACGTGTTCCATGATTTCGAAGAGGAAAGAGAATGGCATTATCAGTTTTTTACTTGGAGGGCATTTTCAAGGTCAGTTGAAGATCAATTTAATTTTTTAAAACAGAAAACCCAATTTTTTATTATAACTTCTTTCTCTACCAATTAATTTTAACAACTTTTGTCTGAAACATTTTTTTCTTTGCCTAATATTTTTTGAAATATTTAAGGAAAACTTGGTAATTTCTTCAACATTTAACTTACGATATCTCTTCGCTAACTATTCGTCGAAAGAAAAAATAATATTAAACCTTTTTACTTTTGTTAATTTAATAACTTTGAAATTTCCAAAGGTCGATAAGTACATGTTATAATTATAAACAGTGTTTTATACAGGGTGCACGATTTATCTGAAAACATTGAAATATCTCGAGAACTATGCATTAGATAAAAAAAAGTGGTTAATGAAAGTTGTTAGTCTCGAAGGGGGACATCCAATGATACCAAACTCGACCTCCCACCTCACCCCCTGGGGGTGGGGGTTGGGTGACTCTGAAATCTTAAATGGAAACCCCCATTTTTTATTGCAGATACGGATTCTACGCCACAAAATACGTAAATTGTGTCCGAAACTTTTTTTTTTATTCGTGATAGATGGCGCTGTAATCGCAAAAAATTATATTTTCCGTAATTCTCCAGAAATGATCACGGGAAGTATTAGACCGTGATTACAATGGTCGGTGGATTGGCAGAGGTGGCCCGATTAATTGGTCTGCTAGGTCGCCTGATTTGACATCGCCGGATTTCTTTCTGTGAGATTACCTAAAAGATAAGGTTTATCAACAAGTGCCAACAACTCGTGAAAACATGGTAGAACGCATAAGAAACGCTTGCGCTGAAACTCCCGCAGATATGCTTCTATCCTATGTACAGTCATTTGAAAAAAGGATCAACAAGTGTATTGAAGTTGAAGGTAAAAATTTCGAACACTTACTCTAATTAATTGAACAGTGAGAGACAAGGGGACTCACATTAAAAAAGCACCCGAAGGGAACATACAACTACTGCGTCCTCGTCGTTGTTCCTGTGTAACGCTAAAAGCAGTTTCTCGGAAAAATTCAACGCTATCTATCACGAATGAAAAAAATTGTTTCAATAAAAATTTCACGTACAATCTAATTCTGCAATGAAAAATGTGGGTCCCCATTTGAGATTTGAACGTTATCACCCACCCTACCCCGAGAGGATGGGGGGGGAATAACTTTTATTATGTTCTTTAAAAATATTGAACAAGTATTTTTTATTTCTCAATCCAATGATCATTTCTGGAGAATTGCGGAAAATATAATTTTTTGCGATTACAGCGCCATCTATCACGAATAAAAAAAAAGTTTCGGACAAAATTTACGTATTTTGTGGCGCAGAATCCGTATCTGCAATAAAAAATGGGGGTTTCCATTTAAGATTTCAAAGTTGCCCCCAACCCCCACCCCCAGGGGGTGGGGTGGGAGATCGAGTTTGGTATCATTGGATGTTCCCCTTCGAGACTAACAACTTTCATTAACCACTTTTTTTTATCCAATGCATAGTTCTCGAGATATTTCAATGTCTTCAGATAAATCGTGCACCCTGTATATAAAACATTGTTTATTATGTGTTATTTATTTTACATTTTTAATCGATGCAATATTTTAATGTATATTTATTTTTGAAATTAGAAATTAAAAATTTAGAAATTATTGACACTCAACTTAATTTTCTATATCATGTCTTTTGTGGGAAATATAAGTTTAAATAACTATATTTTATTTTAATATTTTAATTTTATTTGGTTAAGGTAACAATAACAAAACATAGTGAAGAAAATAATAATTTGTAACAATACTTGGCGTAAGTTTTGTGATATCATTATTTTTGTAGAAAATACAAATAAAATGATATAATTTGATTTTGTTTTATTTTTATTTGGTTAAACTATTTAATATCTTTTTTTATAAAAAATAGAAATTTGAATAATAATATTTCATGTTAACGTTTTTAGATTTGTTGTCATATAAAAAATATATTTTAGAAACATTTACTTTTGTATATTTACAATTATAATATTAACTAATTAGTTATAATATTAATAAATGAACGGGAATGAATGGGAATGCGTGAACTTGGCGCTTTTTTTTACCTTTTTAGTGATCGAATGAACACGATGTTATTGTTACAAACCCAGACGTTTATGAACGTAACTATATATACACGATACTATATATATATATATATATATATACGAACTATATATATATATATATATATATATACACGAGGGTAGTCCCAGAAGTATCTGACCTGACGTATAGATAGCGGTTGATGTTTGAAAAGAATGACTATGATAGAAAGTACCAACCTTACAAAGCTTAAGTTTGAAGTTTGACGACGCTACGTTGTCTAGTATTTGTTTGGCAGCCACCAATAGTGAACGCTCTCAGTGAATTTGTAAACATGGAAAAAATTGGTCATCGTTATGTGATACAATACTTTCATTTGAAAGGTCTCAGTTCAACCAATATCAAAGTGGAGCTAGATTCTACTCTGGGGGAGTCTGCTCCTTCGTTTACAACAGTAAAATATTGGGTGGCAGAGTTTAAACGAGGCCGTACGAGTTGTCAAGACGAACATCGCAATGGTCGACCAAATGAGGTGACCACGCCAGAAATAGTGAAGAAAATTCACAAAATGATATTGGATGACCGTCGACTGAAAGTGCGCGAATTAGCAGACATGGTAGCAGACATTTCAAAAAGTGCTGTACATCGCATATTGACTGAAAATTTGGACATGAGAAAGCTGTACTGTGCAAGATGGGTGCCGCTATTGGAACAACAACAGCGTCGTGAGGATGTTTCAATCGAGTGTTTGGCGAAGTTTCGCAGCAATAAAGCCGGGTTTTTGCGTCGATTTATAACCATGGATGAAACATGAGTTCATCACTTCACACCTGAGACGAAGGAACAGTCAAAACAATGGACCAAGGTTTGATGGTTATTTTGAGGAGCTCGACGATTCCCACTAAAAACAGGATATCGAAGCTATTGAACATCGCTGGGAAAAGTGTGATTGAGCTATGAGAAGACTATGTAGAGAAATAAAGATCTTTTTTCCCAAATTTTTTGTGTTTTCTTTGTTAGGTCAGGTACTTCTGGGACTACCCTCGTATATATATTTAATAAAATTAATGCAGCACAGATAATATCCGCAAGTGTTATTTCCATTTTTCCGTTTATCATCTCATTTAATTCTCACTAGGTCGAGATATGATCAACATTCAATATGAATTAAAGCGTGAGTCATGAAATCCTCGTCCTTTAATTGCCTAGTATTTGTATGTTGCCAGTCATTGAGATTACGTGACACTTTGGTAAAACAAAAACAAAATGTCAGCGTTCTCATAGTATTTATCGAGAAAATGATAGGCTACAACATTGAGACGCATTCATCTGTCACGCTATATATCAGACACTGCTTCGACATGACACGCTTTAAAAGATCTATTATAGCTGTGAGAACGAATGCCATCAGTGTTTCTCAAGACGCCGACTAGAGAGTTCCTGCTCGTGATACTGGGTAAAAGAGAAAGTCGCGCGGGTGCGCAACCTTTTCGTGCAAAGTTTTATTTAATTTTGTTGAAAATACCGACCGAGAGAGATTTTGATCCTGGTACCTGGTAGGAATTTTGTGATTTCTGCAAGTGAATATGGCCACGATAAAGTTGGTGTCGTTCGAGGACGAGCTGAAGAGAAATCCCGAGCTGAAGGAGGCGGACGTACAAATGTTGCGAGAATGGTGCGAGAAGCAGCCTCATTTGCCGAAGATATCAGATAGCATGCTGGCATTGTTTCTGCACAGCAATTATTACCGACTCGAACCGACGAAAGCTAGTATCGACGTTTTCTACACAGTTAGAAGCCACGTGCCTGAGTTCTTCAGCGACCGAGATCCTGTGAACAACAAGGAGCTGAAGAAGGCCTGTCAAACGGTGTAAGTATATAATAATACTTGCGATCGATATCAGCATCGTGACGCTACTCATACGACAGAGCGAGTGTAACGACGCATCTCGGTATGCATTTCAGTAACGTTGTGTATATATATATATATATGTACCAAAGTATAACAAAAGGACGCGAGACGTTTTACTTGTTTATTTGTCATTTGCTTATCTATTAATGAAATGGCGCGCCCCTTTAAAGAAGGAAAAAAGAGGATTTTATGCAATTTTATCGACAGGACGAACCAGATTTTAGAGGGAACCACTCGGGAAGGCTATAAAATTATTTACGGAAAACTGCTAGACAACGATCCGTCACAATTTGTTTACAACGACGCCATGAAATTGTTCAATATGGTGATCGACCTGTGGCTCTACACAGAAGGCACATGCGACGGCCATGTGATCATATTCGACATGAATAACGTTTCTTTCGGTCACGTGGGTCGTTTGAGTCCCATGGGCTTGAAGAAGTTTCTCTATTATTTACAAGAAGGACTGCCCGTCCGACTTCGTGGCTTTCACTTTATGAACGCTTCCCCGGTAATAGATGTTATCCTGAACATGATGAAACCCTTCATGAAAAAGCAGCTGATGGATATGGTAAGGATAAGATTGTCACTACACTACTACGTGACAAGTGTGTGTGTGTGTGTGTATATATACCTAAGATTTTATTTTCAAAGCGAGAAATGGAGCGTCGCGAGTTCAAATGAAAATTCTCTCCAAAATTATTCTTATCGTTCTTATACGATTCTTATACAAACACGCACTGTATCGCTTGGATCAAGTTAAGCTTGGATCTTCTTACGTTAAATCGACGAAAAGAGAACCACTGTGTCCACATGCGCGCAACGTGGGATATTCTTCTCGCGGTTAAATCTCTAAAATTCAACTTTCAGTTCCATATGCACACCACAAGCGAATCTCTGCAAAAATTCATACCGCTCGAAGTCCTCCCGAACGAAGCGGGTGGCAAAGCCGGGCCTATACACGAATTACACGACAAAAATATGGAAAAACTGATAGATCATGTCCCATGGTTCAAAGAGGAAGAGGCCAATTGTCGCGTCAATGAGTCTTTGCGACCCGGCAAGGCAAAGACGGCGACGGATCTGTTCGGTGTTGAAGGGAGCTTCAAGAAGCTCGAAATCGACTAAGATCAAGCAATTGGATCTTTGAAACTTGCGCCTACGAAATTTGCATCATTACAACGATAATTGCAATTCTGTCTTGAAAGATCGATACAACGTCTAGTAGATGGACTATAAATATATATATATATACATATTTCACTGATCTTATCCCGTATCGTTTGACAATAATAAATATTCATTAAATCTTAGGAGAATGAAGCATAGTAAGCATAGCTATTATCGATTGTCTTATTTTCGATTAGTAGGCACATTATTATCTTTGTAGACATTTGTCTACATTTGTAGACAAATGAAGAACTTATATACTATATTAATGTATCGTTACACTTTTACGCGGAAATTGGGTTTCTTTCTTTTTTCTTGTTTCACATTGCTTACGTTCCACGTACGAATAATAAGATGTATTCTTTTACAGTGATCGAATGTTGCTCTGTATTCCGGTGAAATAAGTTGGAATAACATTAACTCTTTGTGTGTGTGAGTCCCGGTTTTTTTATTTTAAAAATTTACTATTTTCTAATCGATTTCTCAATGTCAGACAGGTGAAAATGGTATTTTAGACGTTTAATTCGAGAATTGGTTTCAGCGGAAAATTTTTCTCTTAACTTACAGTCTGTAAAGTAAGAGCGTGTACGGGTTAATGTGTAGAAAAATTTACTTTTAATGATTTTTAAGTACATGGATTTATTGTACTCCATGAGAAGAAAAACGCTATACCATTAATAATGAGTCCAGTCACCACCGGCATTGATAATTGCCTGGCATCTCCGAGGCTACTTTCCACTACACTACAGTCTGTAAAGTAAAAGCGTGCACGGGTTAATGTGTAGAAAAATTTATTTTTAATGATTTTTAAGTACATGGATTTGTTGCACTCCATGAGAAGAAAAATGCTATACCATTAATAATGAGTCCAGACACCACCGGCATTGATAATTGCTTGGCATCTGCCGAGGCATACTTTCCACTAAGTTGACTGCGTATTCGTTCGGTAAAGACCTTCAAATGAGACGAATTTCTCGTGTCAGCTGCTTCAAAGTGCACACTCTTTTTCCTCGAAGCTTGTGCTTGAGATACGCCTCACAATACGGCTCACAAAAAAACTAGGACGATATTTGAAGAATTGAAGACGATATTACGAAAAGTTGGAAAATTGACGAGAAAGAAGCTTGACGAAAAAAATTTTTCTCACACGAAATAAGTAGACCCGTTAGATGCTTCCAAAAAAGTTCCATTATAGTTTGTGTTTCAACAACACAATAATAGATCTAATTTTATCCTTTAATATACTCAAATATACAGTTAATGACAAATTGTTCTTAGTTGATTGAGAAACTTGGAAGCAGTTATGCATATCTCGCAAGAGATGCGACATTGACTTAACAAAACAAGCCGCAATTTATCGCGTTCCGCTGAATAAGCGAATAATAGCAAATTGCTACTGTTACTGCAAATCTGATTTGTCGCACAAACGAGCACAAAGCTCGTCTGTGTAATCAATTCTGCATAAGAAATTCTTCTGTATAAGAAAATGTATTAACACACAATCAATCCGAACCAAATAAATTAATATTAATATCATTGTATATAAATAGTGACTCGCGTTAATAAACCTAGAACCCAATGTGTACTCCAATCCTTATCATAAATGACTTCATAATAAACGGAAAGAAATAAGACAATAGCAGTAACAGTAATAACAATAAGATAAGGTGTAAGTAAGATTATGCGATGATAATAAGCTAAAGATAAAAATTATACATTCTTACTAATAATCCGTGAAATGTTTTCGTAATCAATGGAGATTTGTCACCGTATCACGTGTGTGTGATATATATGTAATTTGAGCTTATTCCTATTTGAATTGCCTTCTCATGTCGTGTCTTTTAAAGCATTCCAACCGGAATTACTCACTTATTACTCATACATTCGGTACTACTCGTACATTGTGCAAGTGATGAATTGCACATACAGAAGCTGTGTCGGTGTGAGAAAGCCTTTACAAACGATACCTTCGTCTTTTCAACGGTTTCTTATAATACTTTCACCATCGTACTATCCTCGCAGTAAACGCTAATCCACGCGTATGAATGTATCGATGAAACTTCTCGGCCTCATGATGAAACGCATAATAGTAAGTATGCAAGTATTGTCTGTCTATATGCTATATATTGTCTATAATTTGTTGCTATAAATTCATATTTTACGATTAATAAATATTTTGGACAGATATTCTGAACAGATGAACATGTGGATATTTTCCGCGATAAAAAAGAATTACATAAATATCGCCTTCGTGTATATTTCCTAGTTGAATCAAATCATGTTAAAAGATTTACGAATTGAAAATCATATATGTACATATATATATATATATATATCATAACATGTAACGGTAAAAAATATTGACTATATGTAACGTTTTCACAAGTACGTACATAAGGATTCCTTGAAATATGAAACATAAAACGATAGTTTTCGCGACACAATCGGAATAACTGGTTGCAGCTTTCGCAATCCATCCATGCTCAACTCGTTTTATCGCGCAGGAATGCTGCTGCTGTTGCTGCTGCTGCTGCTGCGCACGTATATATTGTATCGTGATAAAAATTGAAATCTTTTTACTCCTTCACCAATATTACACGATAATGAATGTAACGGATCGTCAAAGTTTCCAAGAGATTTTTCTGGTTGTAATATTTGTGACACAAATAGTTGTCCAAAAAATACTAAAGTACTCGGAGGATCTATTTGTCCGAAACATTTTACAGATAGGTCAGAAACTTTCACCAAAATCAAAATTTTTCTCCAAGATTAACTTGAATTGACAATGTTGTAATATTAACTGAATTTTAAACGATACATCTTATCCATGAGACATTTACTTAAGCCTTGGAAAGACTTATATTTAAACACTGAAAATTGATCTAAAACTTGACCAATCGCAAAAACTCGATCCTTTGTATTTTCTTATCCTAAATTCTAGATAGCCGCCATTTTGATTAACGTCTGTCTGGCAGACGTATCGCATATTTTACCAGGATACACAACAACCACTGTACCACCACCTCCGAGACCTTACAATTTTCAATACAAGGCAGGACGATACCCAGGACACATCGATCGCGTTCACGAGGAAGCCGGAGATGGGTCTGGAATTATTCACGGTAATGGCAGCCATACGTCATTTTATAATCGAAGCCAAAACCAAAACACCGCACAGTTGTACATTGTCTCAATTTTATTCGTCAGCATTCCAATTTATTATTCGTAAGCGTTTCGAGATACATCCATGTATTATTCATATAAATCTTTCATATGTCATTGCATAACATCGTATGATTTCAATGAATACAAGTTACAAATTTATTTATATCGAAGCATCAAATCGAAAACCGAAATAATCTCAACTAAAATACGAGATGTCGACCGAGATCAAACTTGTATTATATTAATACCAAACAATGCTGTATTTGACAAGCTTGTATTAATTAACTGTACATCTTGAACACCGATGCCTGGTTTGCCAATTGATGTCAAGTTATTATTTATCATAATGTCAGGTAACGCACGGACGGAAATGTTTCATAAAATACAAGGATTGAGAAAAAAAATTGTGTGATAACGTGTGTTTCGTAATGACGATATTTTTCTCATAACTTGTACATTCTTTAGGATCATATTCGTACGTCGATCCGAAGCACAAGGTGCGCACAGTGGAGTACACGGCCGACAAAACCGGATTTCATCCTGCCTTGATTAATTTCGAGGACACTCTTGCTCAACCTGCCGATTCCGAAGCCGTAAGACTGGCCAAGGAGAAACATTTTCGTCTCTATCAGAGAATCGCCGAGGCAAACGCTCATAACATTCCAGTAAATCTGCCACGGGTAATTGTATATATATATTATATTATATATACGTCAATACACGAGATAATGTAAAACTTTGAGGAGGGTTTGAATTCGAAAAATAAGAAGGAAAAAAAGAAGAAAATAACTTTCAAATTACGTATGCTCAGGGAAAATGTTTCAGTTTTCCGAAAATATCAGATAGATATAGACATAGAATAAGAGGGAAAGATAAATCCGAGTCTATCCGAGAGTCTATCTGTCTGTGTGTGACTGAATGATGGAATTCAAATATCTCAGAGAATAGAGAATAGTGTTTTAATTTAGCTCGCGATCGCTGGCGGAATTGTTTCGCTCTCACTGTGCTCTCATTTAATTCGCCTAATTGCTCCGCAGGATTCAGCGAGCGTGGCAAACGCGAAGGACAAGCATTATCAGCTGTACCATAGAATCGCGGAACAACACGCGGCGATCGCCGCGCAGAGGAAGGCCGAACGGTCGGCTTACGAAGCGACTTCCGTCGCCAACGACGTAGATGACCATCGGTCGTGCTAATATGACTTTTTTATGACGTAACAAAAAAAAAACTGGACATTGTCCGGGCGATCTCGCGAGATACTCTACTACGCCGCGATTCGTTCGCCAAGTTCGTATATAAAAATAAGCAATATAAAAACAAAAATGTTTGACTATAAATATAAATTTGCGCGTTGCTCCATGTCGCTTCTTGTTATTTTCTAATCCGTTAATCCGCATGCAAATGGATGCAATCAAATTTTTCCTTGCGCAGTTTGCGCAAGTATTAAAGCACGATGATATCGATGGACAGTATTTCATGTGGAAAGCCCAATAAGCTAAAGAAATATAACGATATAAGTTATATAAGTAAGCTAAGCATAAGCTCTCTCAATTGTGCAAATCGGAATGTATCTTCTTCGTCTATTCGTCTAACTTGTAGCAAATTTTTAACTCTTCCCTTCTAGATATGTATTAGTATGCTTTCCCGCAAATAAAAATAAATGTGCAAGTCGTAATTTGTAAATTTCCAGTGTTCTAAAGTAGCACAGGCGTTATGTAACTATTACTCATCGCATTCGCGGTATCTCACTGACAAATTCGACAAAGAACAGAAGGAAATCATTGCGTGTGTTTGATTTCAGTTTTTGTTTTGCTCTTCCTTTTTTCCTTTTTTTCACATCACGATATTACGTTTACGCGATTATCATGTTCGAGTAGTGGTGCTAACAACGTTAAAACTCGTCTCTCTTTTAAGTGCCGGAAACGTCGGCGCGCAAATAATTTTCGATGAAAGATATTACACACAGTACAATTGCACCGTAGTGATATAAAAACAACCATGGTACTGAGCTCGATATTAGTTCGAGCAAGTATTTCGACGAAAAATGAAGATCTTCAATCCTATATATCCGCTGTATCTGTTTCTGCTGTACATTGCGGTAAAAAAATTTACTACTTACGAACACACTCACGCGAGAAGATAAGCGAAACTTACATTCTACACTTGCCAAAAGTGCGAATAAATCGTGCCTTTATATCGTCTATTTTATTCACTTCTTCAGAGTGACGCGATAAGCTATTGATTTATTACGAAAGACATAGAAGCGACATTGCAAAAGACAAAAGGAAAACGACAATGTGCATGTGAGGAAAATCGAGGGAAGAAGTTCCGAACGTGTGAAAACGTTGTTGCTTCTGTTTTTTAGATTCTTATATCTAATCTTAGATTATAGACTCATCATCATAATAACGCGGAGAAGTGTTAACTTTCTCAATCTGTTCTCTGCGTACTTTGTACGCAGATTGGAATGCAAAAATTAAAGGCGAGACATTGCTCGGTAGAGGGACGAAAGAATTTGTATTGGCAAATGTTCTTATCACTCACTCTCTCTTTGCTAGACGACAATGTCCATGAGCATCGGAAGTCCCGTCGCTGCAATCGGCGGATATCGTTCTATAGCTTGTAGAAATCGGAGCACTAGTGGATAAACAAGTAAATAAAAATTAATTAATTAGATTATTACATACGATAATTTCGGCAACTTGAACCGCAATGAACACCTAACCTCATACACACACACACATACATATATATACGTACCCGTGCGTGCACACATATACGCGCTTAATTTATCAAGAATATTAACAAATTGATAAATGAGAAATATTTCCGATATACATATGTATAATATAATAGTATAGTGTCTGCATTCGCGCATCCAACGCTAAACACCGCATGCTGCGTATCCAACGTTAAACATAATCATGTTGTATGGGTTTCTTTACACGGTTAAAAGTCAGGATATTCAAAATTAGACAACTATATTTAACGGTAAATGCCGATCTCAACAAAAGTATTGATGTTAATAGACATAACAAACGCTACAATGGCACACTTTTTCATACTCATTTCTGTCATGTAGATGACGTGCGCGATTGCATTGTTCTTTTCTCAACTCCATGAAGGGCATTACCACTTGCCTTCTTGTGTGTTCGCCCTTCAACCGCTTACACCGGATTCTACCCGCGTGTGAATAAACTTGAAGTTAAATATAGTCTCAAGTTGAACATTTTAAAGTTCGAATTAAACTCACTCGCACAAGAAACGATCGAAACCGCGGATTAAAGCGCCATATTGATATATCTTCGATTGTTGAGTCTCTCAAGTGCGCTTTTGTCGATTCTCTCGCTTTTCGATACATCGATAAGTCAATACAAGTTTAAATCCTGTTTCTTTTAACCACATTTCTTATATTTTCTACGCGAGTTTCTCTCTTCTTTTCTCTTTCTCTTTTTCGCCACATTTTCATCAAAAACGCATATGCAGCCTATCTTTCTTCTTTTAATGTTCCTTGGCATACAACGTAATATTACCCAAAAAACGAACAAATTTGTAGTCACTATTTTGCCGTGCGAAAGAAAGATGAGACTTACGAGACAATTGTGTACTATCTGTATTACTTTTAAGTCATAAATATGTTAAAAATGATGAATTGATATTATATATAATGTTACAGAGACAAAGAGAAAATACGAAGACACAATGTCAGAAACACGGACCTGAGAATTATAGATGACCTGGATAAAAAATTTTAAACGTTTTTTCTTCTATCTTCATATCACACTGCAATTATGTAATGTATTATTTAAGAGACAATACATAACATTATAAATTTCTTATTTGTCCTCACCCGATTTTGTTCTAATAATGTACCAATAAACAATGAATATTATGGTTCAATAAATAACAAAGTAGTATAAATAATTCGGATTTTTATTCAATAATCCTGGCAGTCATAGAATGCATATTTACTCATACACATTTCTCATTATTATATCTTTTACTTTTGCATATTGATATAGTTTCACAGAATTTTGCTTATCATCTATAATGATATAAGTAATCATCTATAATTTATAATAAAAGAGAGAACATTAAAATTTTGACGAATTTTATATAACCATGTGTATATACAATTATTGTCTATTCTATTATACATGATACACCTTTACTCTCTTCGTCTTCTATAAATCATTTCTTTGCACGCAGTACATATAGGATATTTTTCAGTTATATAAACTGTAAATAAACTGTCTGTGTGTGTGTGTGTGTATGTGGGTGAATGAATGGGTGTGTGAAATCTAACTTCACAAAAGGGAAAGTGAGTGATATTAATCCGCACGAATATTATGCAACGAATATTTTACATACATAACATAGATATATTATTAAATATAATGAAACTAACAATTTTTAATTTCCATATTATTATATGCCAGTATATACGAAACTTGTTTTGCCAATCTTTTCATTTTTTCAATAAAAAATGAATGTTTTGTATTAATAGATAGTAAAATATCGACTTAAGACGTAACCATTACACATGGGTGGTGCACGCTTATCACAGCTTTCATGTCTTAAAAAGCTACAAAATCTTGAGAAACGTCAATCAAAGGCTCTTTTAGCATACTCGTGTAGCATACTTTTGTATAAAGCATACTTTTGTATTATATGTAATTTCGCAGCAACAGCTCTCTCCCTCTCCCTCAAGTAGATCTTTCCTCTATCAAAGATCATGTGAAGAATGACAAATCATTCTAACGTTGTACTATTACAATTATATTATAATTATCGCAATCGCGTCTTGTGAAAAATTCTATAAAACGCGCCGCATAGTATAATCACGAGTTTAGCGGTATATATTCCACATTCAACGGTAGAAATAAGTGTCAAAGATTCATTCCATTGTATAGCATACATCTGTACTTCGTATAAGAATTAATATCATGGTGTTACAAGCGAGACATCTAATGACGGTTTTTTGTAACTTATTTCTTCATTAAATGTAACATGTCCTTGTTTTGCTTCTGCAACATTATATCTGCCTTCTCTGTCTTATCAGTGATGTTATCAATCAAATCATTCTGCGAGTCTATTTCCTCGGACAGACCGATTGCTAGACTCTTTAGTCTCGCCAGTGACCCACTCATTTCATTTAAATTCTGCTCCAAAGCCTTGGTCACTTTGTCCTTAGGAGGTCTAGCATCTTCGTAATCATTATCATCGTAGCCTCCCTTTATTTTCACTGACGAATATGAATTGCTCACATTACTTTGTACTTGTTCTAATGAATTAGAAAATGCTGGAGATGTTACAGATCCAGAACTAGAAGATTCTGACAGTTTCGTTGACGGTATCGGAGCATCCAGAGATTTACCGCTGAGGTAATTTTTCAAACTACCAAAGACACTTTTTATACCTTGAATATGTTTCTGACTGAATCTTAATGTACTGTTAATATCATCTAATCTTTTCTCTGTTCTTTGCAGCTGTTCTCTTTGCCTGATTAATTCCTGAAAACAAGAATTGATATATATATATATATGCATGTATATGTGTGTATGTGTGTATATATGTGTGTGTGTGTGTATGTGTGTATATATGTGTGTGTGTGTATGTGTGTGTATGTATGTCATCACTCATTATGCATTTATGATATAGTATAAGCATTGTCAAGAAGTTGAAATTATTCAACAGTTTATACCTATAATAAAAGTAACAGTATCCATTATGTTATGCAGAAAATGCAAGAAAACTTGATTGAAAAATTGATGCACTGTCATGAATAATTATATATAAACATGTAATTTACAATATATATATATGTGTATATATATATATATATATATTAAATATATTATAACACATCTTGTATTATATTATTATAACAGTAAGTTGTACATATTACAATACGCATCTTGTATCCGTGTCTGCTATGCTATCTGTCACATTAGATAAGACTAGTATATTATTTTAAAATTACCTCAGCTGTGGCTGCACCAATTTGCTCAGAGTCTCTTAAGAGTGAGACTGATCTTTCGGAGGATTGTATCGTGCGTTCCTCTATATCCCTTTTACGTTGCAACAATTGTTGGCGTTTCTGCTCAAAGTCGTTATCGTGATAACGTTCTACAGGTCGAGTTCCGGGTGGCGCGACTCTAAGAAACGTCTCGTCGTCTATGTCGTCCTCCAATGAAAAGAACGGATTCTTCGGGTCGCTCAGGTAATTATGACTCGTCATTTCTGAGGAATCTTTCGTTAAGTCTGCAATATCGTTGATACAATCTTTCGTACACTCGCTCCGTTACTCCGACGAGCGTATCACGAGGACAGGACAATAACTGGGTGTCGGGGTCAACGGCGCATGCGTATGTAATTTTGATGCATTAAGGTGGATACACACGAATGAACGAATGAAATTCTACCAAATGCAACTCTAAAGGCTCGTCTACAATAGCTGTAAAAGTAAGGCTGTACGGCTGTAACGTAAGCTGTCAGCGAATGAAAATATTTCATTTCGTGTCTTGCAACCTTACAGCCTTATTCTTACAGCTAATGTAGACGAGCCTTAAGTTCACAAAAAATGTCTTGTCCAGCCTTTGCCACATTTTCACTCAGGAGGTCCATAAACTTTGCAAAATCTAAACCAGACGTTTCTTTGTGAGTTTTTAAAAATACATTCGATAGTATCCGTCGAAACATATAGTACGTCGACACCACTCCCGAATTTTTCCGCCCGCCGGAAGTGTCCAAAAAAAGTTTGATCTTTCATTTCCGAAAGTGTTACACTAATTTTCAAGCACTTTTGGTACTTGAAGCGGAGAAATTTGTCAGTAATGTTATTTTATTTATCTTAATAAGTATCGAATGCAATTCAATGTAATTCACAAAAAAGAATGTCTGGTCAGAGAGCGAATAACACGCCAGTGAGCGAATTTTGTAATTTTTAATTAATTTATTTTACAGTGCCAGATTATGTACTTGAGCGTCAAAAGATCAACGTTGTATAAACGATCTGTATGCTGTATCAGAGTGCAGTAGTGCCACACTTTCTGTTTGTTTGTCATATATGGCTAATCATGCTTTCTGTAGTATTTGCAATTGCATGACCACGCACACACGAAACTAATGGCGATTCAAACTGGATGCACTAATGTGCGCTGAAGGCGGACAAGCCTTTATTTATCCGCCTATTCTTTTATTTATAATCATCTTATATTCATCTACTTCTCTAATCTTCTAATCTTTCATAACCAACGAAACGATCATACGAAATCATACGAAAATTCGTACGAATTGTTTCATTGACTAGAAAGATTAAAAGGTTCATAGATGAATTTGAGATGAACTTGAACGAAAAAAAGAATGGACTGCAATTAAACATTAGCCCGTTCAGTACACACTAGTGGTCCAATCGAATTCATGGTACCTACAATTTTGTACCTAATATTTTTCTTTGCAGATCATACTTCTTTCGACAAAAAATGTTGGCGCCTTCTTTGCATCATTCCCAAAATTGATACAGAGCCGGGTTTTGCAATTAGTGTTATCAAAAGTTATAATAAATAATATTATGCTATTGTAAATAATTAGTGCTGCACTCCAAATATAACACTCATTCTAGTAAATTAAGCAATTTTTATTTCAGGTCTTTCGAAAAAAAAATTATTCCGTATACTCCTTTATTGACAATCCTCCTATAGTATAGAATTTTCCTATAGTATATTTGGTCAAAAAACGGGAAATGCTTTTGCTTATTTCGCGTGTTTCTACGGAAAGTCTCTGTAGACTCTCAACTTGAATCAATTGTAAACATAAACTCGTATTAATAATTGTTTGAAATAATATATGAATAAGTTGAAACTTATCATATTTAAAAATTTGGATTCTTTGGATCGGTATTACATACGTACAATATTGTTATATACGTATATAATATGTAACATGTAATGTTTCACTCTTGTGATTTTATTGTGTATAATCTCATATCTCTAACTTTAATGTAAATTTAAGTATTTCACTTGAGACAAATTTCAAGTAACGACTACTGATACCACGGCTCGAAACTTTGGAATATCTTTATTAGAGAAAGTTCCGACTGTGTATGATTAATCTTGATTTCAAGAAAGAGATTTCACTCCTTCAGGGGGAATGAGGAGAGGGTAAATCACTGGTGGGTCTCGTGTGAAAATAAAACATAACGACGTATATTGATTACAAATGTTCGCGATACAATGTATGATATTGGCAGAAGCCCTTAAATTATGATATAACTTTCATGTAATACGATATTACACTTTGCATAGTATCTATATCATACGCGCGCGTAAAAGGAGAAGGAGTATAGAAAAAATATTCTTTTTTCCATATTTCGTATATGTACAACAATGGAGTGGGGAGTTATTCGCGTGTTTGAAAAAAACGGTATGACGCACATGTGTATTACGTGTATGCGTGTATATGGGTATGTCCGGTTCCTCTCGTTTACCGCGTCTCGCGCTAAACGGTCATGCATGTATAAAATCATGTACAAATGGGAGATCGTTATTTCCCCGATGTCAACAACTTTATCGGTCGCGTAAATGTCGCGTGCTTATGTTTAAGCGATGACTGGAATTAATATGTACAACAGAATTACACGGTTACTTCGATGAGTCGTGCGCCTTCTTTCTGCTATGTCGATCACATTAGTGTTTAAAAAGAATCATCAGTATGCGTGCGTGCGTGTGTACGTGCGTGCGTGCGTGCGTGTGTGTGTGTATGTGTCGTCGTTAAAATATGATTACACTTAGTCTATTAAATGCACAAATTATGATAAAACCTGTAAGTACAAAGACAATAACGACAATTGTCTGAAGAGAGCTGAATCGCCCTCTTAACGCTTTGACCATCATATAATGCGATACTTCCGTACGTTTAAATGATCATTTCACCTTTCGTTCAACTCGAGTTCAAGTACTTGATTAAAAGTAATATTTTCACTTGACTTTTAATTCATCTTTCAATACCATATTCCAAACGCCACTCGAATCATATTCGAGGAAACACACATGTCTGTGTTTTATGTACGATCAAAGTGTCAAGATCGTTTCGAAACGGAGATAACGCAACTTGGGAAGGACACCACATTGTTCCGATACGTGACAAGATTCTTTCCGATTCAATTCCTCGATCGGCTATATGTTACCTTACATCTACCTACAAGCTCTAGTCTCTCTCATTCGACGTACGATTATAATCAGGCAGTTTAGGCTTTGCTGCAGATGTCTAAGAAAATAGCTAAATACTCATTTCTCTTTTCCTCGTCTCGTCGCTCGATTTTATGTACAAAGCCCAAAGGGAGAGTTTGTAGAGTATCTGTCCGTTTTCCGATATTTACAACGTTATATAATTGAATATTCGTACTTTCTCAGCACTTTCTCACAAAAGTGTTGATCCTACGCTCGCTCTCTCTCTCTCTCTCTCTCTCGCTCTCTCTCTCTCCCTCGCTCTCGCTCTCTCTCTCTCTCTCTCTCTCTCTCTCTCTCTCTCTCTCTCTCTCTCTCTCTCTCTCTCTCTCTCTGTGTGTTTCTCACTACCGAATATCCGACAAACTAAATTAAATCGCGAACACGTGATTCAAATTAATATTCAAGTGCTTAAGAACGCATAAAGGCATTGCCGAGTACGGAAACGCTTACACGATCTTGACAAAGATTCTTTCCCGATTCAAATGAGAACAACCGATATATTAGCGTCAATCACCGCGCCGAGACGCTACCAACTGCGAATGCCATTGCTGAAGATGGAAGACATCCGTCTAAATTAATTAAAATCAACCTAGATTAGTAAATGCAACGTGTGTTGAGCATCGTCCTCCGTACGCCTCGTCGTCGTTATAATTGTATTGGCGTTTAATTGCCTGTCGCAGGGACGAATCGCGCTTTTGATTATATATCACACCTGCTCGACCATATAATATGCCAGAGTTGATCAATTACGCGCTAACTGCGTTCTATCGTCGAACCTACCCGGGACCACCTCGGTCCTCGGTGTCTTATTGCATTCGATAGAGCCCCGCTTATTACGCGACTACGTAAATTTATTAGCGACTATTGTTTCTCGTGGTCCGTTCGACTCGTTCGCTACTAGTCAACCGTGAGAGAACTCTAATATGCGCGTTATTTCGAGACAGAGAAAACTGAATAATTATGCAGAAGAACGTGTACCATTCAAGAAATGCGAAGAAGAGAAGTCAATGCAGTGTGCGTTAATTAAGTTCATTTAGAAGATATATGCTACGAGAGAATGCACGTGCGGCGAAGCTACAAACATCTCGCGCGCATTCTCGATTATACTGTTTGTGTGTTGTGTGTGTGTGTGTGTGCATGTAAGATAAGTGTACAAATGTGTACAAGAGAAGAGAAAAATATATGTGTGTATCGTGCAATCTCGATATATCTCGCTTCAGCTCGATTAGCTCAAAAATAAATGAATCTCAATATCGGATACTGCGATAATGTCCAAGAGGAATACAGTTAAGCGCTAATGGCGGCAATTTTGTACTCTTTCTAATTGAAGGACACATTTCGCGACAGCGTCGGGAAAAGTGGCGTTGTCTTTGAGGATACAACGTGCTAATCTATCGCACGACGTGTTGGAACGTAAAGTGAATCGACACGCCGACCGCGCGCACCGCTCTGACGTTAGTAGTACGTTAGTTGTTTAACGTACAAATTCCGTTGTCGCAACGCAAACTGCAACGATATTCGCTTCGATATTTGTTTCCCCTCACGAACGTCATGCAGCGTGACAAACGAAATAATGTATTCTCCGGGCACTTCGTTTTACGTGATAATACACGAACGAAACGCTGGATGACTATGGATGCCGTACGGCTCGCTCGTCTCTCAAATATCATATCACGCTCACACAAATGCTTAATCTATCAATCTACCAAGTAGTGGATTATACATACGTACACTCATGCGTATACAGACCAGCGTAACAGCCTCAATATGCGATGCAACTGGATTACTAGAATCTCGAAATTGTACGCATTGTCGACTTATTATTTATATATTATAAGAAGCAGGAACACATGATGTATCGAAGCGGTAATCTGTGATGGCTTTATGTTAATGTCCAAAAACGAACGTATACGATTAGAGTAAGACTTAGTAACTTTAATACACCGCGTGTTGAGGCTATTACGCTGGCCTGCGTACAATCGGTGAAAGGAAAATTGCAACATTCTTTGCCCGATGAACTTCAAAACGTATCCGGTGTATCAAGAGTTGTTAACTCCCGAGACTTGCTAAAAAGTAAATTCTCTTAAGGCCCAATCTGCAATAGATGTAGTGAGCTTTTAGCCGTTTGTTGTAAGTCTTAATTTTTGTTAAAAATCATTTTCCACCTGTAGCTGCCCTAATAATTGGAATCTAAGTTTCTAAGGATCTAAAAATCTAAGAATCTAAGGAATCTAGTTTTCTTAAAGCTTAAGAATTACGATCGCATAGCGGCAGCGGGAAACACTTCTAGCCACAAATTACGTGACAGTCTCGAGCTTAGAGCCAAAGGCTAGTGGCTTACTGCACCTATTGTGAATAAGGACTCGATAGATATGAACGTGTTGGGAAACTTAATGAAAAGGAAACGTCGCAAGCTTTCGTCCACTGACTACACACACACACACACACACACATACGCGCGCGCGCACGAGCGCACACACGTGTACGCACACATACATACATACATGCATACATAAATAAATCCGTATCCCTCTTGGCAGTCGGTTAGTGAAACTCCCTATCGACTTCTCGATAGTACAGACACTCGTATTGTCACGATTACTATTTATGAGGCTACTCACACTGCGGGAGAATCGGCCGATATCTGCGCGTCGCGTGGTCTCGCTTGGCTCGCCGTACGGCGGCCGCATAGAGCAACTATTTACGCTAAAACGGAGAAGAGCCAGCAGCTCGTCCAGATCAACCTGGCGTCAACGTTGCCGTGCACGGAGTCGACGTTCAGGTTCGGGCACGCTTGGCAGTCTAAGCGCGAAGAGGCTTGCTGTCAGTAAAACTCCGAGTCGGAGCTGTGCTGCGAATCGACGCCGCTGCGTCCGTTCAGATACACTTCGGACGTCTGTTGGATAGACGGCGAATGCTGCGCGGCTTCCCAGTTTTGACCTGCTGACGGTGGGAGTCTCGCATTAGTTGCGTCGAGAAAGCAAGACAGAGAAAGAAAAGAGAAGAACGAAAAGAAAAGGAAAGAAACGTTCCTCGTACCATGCGCCGCGAGAATAGTGGCCAAACACCTGGCTACCGCCGGATTCGGGGCGCAGGCCAACGCAGGGGTGAGTCCCTCGGCGTCTACGGCCACGACACTTGCGCCCAATTGCAACAATCGGCGCGTGATCTGCATGTGGAGGATGAACATTTATTGACTATTTTTTTACAGAAAATGTCGGCGGTTCATTTACATTTACAACTAGCGCTACGTTGAAACATAGCGCTAGTAGCCGAGGTCTGGCTCTGCCAGTTTTCAGCACTCTTGCGCGAATTTCACCGAATATTAAAATGTATGAGAATTTATTAATTATTTGGTATTATCTATCAGTCATGAACTTACCGTCACGAGACCGTTCCTCGCCGCTAGATGCAACGGAGTTCTCTGTTGCTTGTTGGTCATATTAATAACTGCCACTCGCTGCTGCTGCTGCTGTTGTTGTTGTTGTTGTTGTTGTTGTTGTTGTTGTTGTTGTTGTTGGTGCTGCTGCTGCTGCTGCTGCTGCTGCTGCTGTTGGTGCTGCTGCTGCTGCTGCTGCTGCTGCTGCTGCTGCTGCTGCTGCTGCTGCTGTTGCTGCTGCTGCTGCTGCTGCTGCGATTGCTGGGCCGACGCGGCATTGCCGTCGGAGCCGAGCGAGTCGATCCAGTTTAAGAGTAACGACGCTGCGGCGGAATGGCGCCTCTGACAAGCTAAGTGCAAGGCTGTATTTTTACTGGAATCGACAGCACGTACATTGGCTTTCCACTCGAGTAGTAATTCTATCGGTAAGGTGTCATCATATTAATATCGCAGCGCCAGCGAGGACGATAATAAAGCTCACTTCGTTAATTAAGGGTGCGATCGTATTACCGATAACGTTGCATTGCCCGGTAACGGCCGCGCAGAGTAGCGGCGTCCGTCCGGAGTAATCGGGCGTCTCCAGGCCGGCTAACTCCGGACCAACCGAGCTCAGGATCAGTCGCGCACACTCGACCGAGCCGGCGCTGGCCGCGACGTGCAAAGGCAGCCGGCCGCCCAGAGTGTCCCTCGGCGCGGCCACTGCTTTCCCGCCGAATTTGTTGATCAGCAGGTCCAAGCAGTGCGCGGAGCCCTGATAAACAGCGCAGTGAACGGCGGAGAACGGGTTACCTGCGAACAATCGCGAATACTCGGCTCTAAGACGCGTCCGACGCGGCGGATTCGCTCATCATGACGGAACGGGAGAGGAAAATCACTCGCCTTCCAAGGAGTCAAATACGTTCTGATCCAACAGGTACTCCACGCAATTCGAGTTGCCGTTGTAACAAGCCCAGTGAAGCACCGTGCATCCTTGATCGTCCTTCAAAGTAGCCGCGGTCGGATCCGCTTTCACCAAAGCCGCTAAAGCGTTCAGTCTACAAAGAGATTTCAGATTCAGAGGCCTGGTTCCACACGGGAAAGATGCGTTACTTGCAACTTAGCCGTCGGTGTTACAAGTTACTTTCCTTTTAGTGTCAATTTGGTGACGCTGTTCTTATTAGTATCGATAATGATAATTTTTTTCTTTTTCGAGTAGCGAATCGGAAAAGCTCTGGAGAAACGACTCTCCCGATGTTATTTTTGCTATTTTTGTCGTCTTCCTCACCTTCCGCAGGCCGCCGCCAGGTGTAACGGTGTTTTACCGTTCGCGTCCTGCACCGCTACGCGTGCGCCGTGTTTCAGCAGCAACTTCACTAGCTGGTGATCACGTTCGTTCACTACCGCTCGGAACAGCGGCGTGTGCTTGTTAATGTCCGGCAGATTGCAGTCGGCCTTGTGCTTCAGCAACAAAATCGCACACTCCGGATTGCTGTTCGCTACCGCAAGCGTGAGGGCCGTACGCTGCTTCGCGTCGTAACGATTCACCACTCGAGGATCGTCCGTGTTCTCCAAGAGCAGGGCCAAACAGTCGGAGTGACCGGCCGCAGCGGCGCAATGTACCGGCGTGCGTTTTGTCACAGAATCCTGAAAGCATAACGATATTGGTACTAAGTGCATAATGCCGCTCCTATTATTATTATTCTAGGATTAGGAAATAATACGTTACTCTCTGCTTTTTCAATAACATAGTAGACGTTATTGAAAATAAAATACTTATAAACAAAGACACTCAAGGATTTATACACTTTTTCTGATAATAAAATTAGTAAATTATGTCACAGTAATGAGATATTTTTAAAAAAAAAAAAAAAAACATTATTCTTCCAATCGTATTATATTGTTATGTCCGAGCCACAAGGTTTGTGGCAGCATCCGTGTTGTCCGCGAGCCTTGGGCATCTGATGTTGATTTTGACAACTGAAGGAAGATTGTCTGGACGATGGAAAATCGATAAGAAGAAAACACCAACACTACTAGTGTTGGTGTTTTCACCAAAACCCATATTTTTTTCTTACTTGAACCGACACCAAAGCGCTGAATCGCAACAGAAGCTCGATGCACTGCTTGTGTCCTTTGTAGGAGGCCAAATCCAACGGAGTCTTTCCACTGTCCTCTTTGATGTTTGTATTAGGGAACAACGGTAAGAGCAACTTCAAGATCTCGCTGTGACCGTGATATGCCTAAGAGTACAATTTCCAAATTAAATGTCGCGTCGTTTCCAATCCTCGAAGAAGAGAATGAAAAGAGTTTATGCGTACCGCGAGATGTACTGGAGTGAGCGCCGGCGAAGACACTTCGTGCTTGAACGCAAAGGAACCGTGCGAGGTGGATAAATTCCCTGACGAAGGAGACGACGACGATGCGGATGTGGACGTAGACGTCGTCGTCGATGACGCGTGTAAGAGCGCTTTCAGAGCCGGTTGATTGCCACCCGCCACTGCGTAGTGAATCGCAGTGAAGCCGCGTTTATCGC